GGGGGGGGGGGGGGGGGGGGGGGGGGGGGGGGGGGGGGGGGGGGGGGGGGGGGGGGGGGGGGGGGGCATGGCACTGGTGCTGGTCCCAGCAGATTTGCTTACGCTGTGTCCCCGAGATGGGGATGATGTGTTCGTCCTTACTTTTGCACAAATCATGAACCGTAACACGCCGTCTGTACATACGTTTCACGATACACAATCCGATGCACCCAACGCCCACCAAACTGTCTTGTTGAGCATGAATAGTAAAGCCCACTGCAGGGCAGACATCAACTGTGCTTTCTCGCGCGGATTACAAGGTGAAACGTCCTTGGTTAGTGTCCGCGGATCGAGGTGGAGTTGTGTAGTCGTTCAGGATAAAAGGAAAGACACGTTTGTCGCAGAATACCTCCTCCCTCTCTTACGGACATGAGGAATCGTTGTTACGTCGTATCGGAGACGCGTGGCGAACAGTCAAAGAGAGTACATACAACAACCCATGCACTCCATCAGCAATGCAACCATTTGTGCGGCGATACACCTGACTCACATCCCCCTCACTCCCTGCTTCCCGACTTGTCCTCGTTTTCTCTCGTTTGTTCGTTTGCATGCGCATGTGTTTGTTTCGTTTGCAGTTTTACCAGTACATCCGGAAATACCTGTCCCTTTACCCGGACACGGCGGAAATGGATATCCCCCTCTTCGAGGACTTCGACCTCAACAGTGACGGCGTTGTGTCCTTCGACGAGTGGCAGATGTACCTGGACCGACACCAGCAACAGGTGAGAGCTTGAGATTGAAGCTTATCCCGTGGTGTTCATTTGGAGTTGCCTCTGTTGGAGTGGTGTTTCCTCGTTTTTGGATCCTACAGTAGTTTCCTCATTTTTTAGCGTTTTGGGTTGAAAATTTCAATTGTTTTCATGCCAAACCGGTGTCGAGCGAAAATTCTTGTTTCTGGCAGGTGGTGCTGTATCTTCAAAGCTTCTTATTTGCCCTTTCTTGTTATAGCAATAAGCACAAGCACTGTCACCTCTGCACTGGTGTTATAGGTAGAAAAAATGCCGTGTGATCTGTCTGCCCCTACTGGTACCGACCTGTGGAGACAGGAAATTAGGACCGCACGCGCGCTTGCGTTTGCAGCGCATCTCAACAGCGGCAGAGTTTAGTCCCGGCCTGCTCATCGGGTGTCATTCATATTGTTGACAGAGAATATTGAGCTGGTCGCAGGCGAAGTGTTGATTTGTTTTTCAGTATTGGACCCGATGTTGGACCTCGTGTCGCCTGCCCCATCCCTCATCAACCCAACGTGCTTCGACCCTGTCTACGGTCGAACGACTTTCTGCACCCACTGAGCCCCCCCATGAACTCTTTGCCTCCTCCCCGCCCCCTACCCCCACCCCCACCCCCCGGTGTTTGCCATCGGGGTTGGGTTTTCGTCGCTTGGCAACGACGTTGTAAAACAAGCCGCCCCCCCCGGTATTTGCTATCGGGGTTGGGTTTTCGTCGCTTGGCAACGACGTTGTAAAACAAGCCAATCCACTTCCTGAACTCGGCAACCAGGTTACCGTTTTTTTTTTGGCGGTAACCATAATGGTGGTCGAGTAGATCATGTTGTGCGGGGTGGATAACCCTCGCTCCGCGCAAGGGGGATGATCGCACCACGTTGTGTTAAAATGGTCAAGCACCCTCGAGGCAGTTACACAGTGCTTACAACTGTCTCTGGAAGTGAAAGCACCAGAAAATA